CTAACGGTATTCAGGTACAGACATTGAATAATCAAATGTAAAATAACACTGCATAGTTTTCACTATAAATTAAATCTAATAAATCTGTGTTAAAGCTACAAAAGTGATTTTTCTTTGTGTTTTGTTCTTTGATTAACGTTCATGACAGAGAAAGCAACAGGAACATTAACCTGCTGTGAACCAATATTACACATCCATTTTCTTTCTCAATTGTTTACCTTCACCTAAGCCATAAGCAACTGTGTTTACAAGGATACTTGCAGAGCACAGTATTTCAGGCACAAATAGTAGCGGAAGTGAACGGAATTCAGAGTTTTTATATTTTATACATTTAAAGCGATTTTTTTTGGGCATTGTAGAGTAGGGCTTGATGTTTGTCATTTCTCCGATCACAAATGCAGAGGTTTTACGTTTACGCGGCGCGATGCAACGCAACGTGTAAAAAGACAGTATAAGTCATTATAATCCATAATTATGTCCCCACTGGGACGATTCTAAGGGCCCACGCACTTTTGGGGCCCCCGGAGATCTGTTTTATTAGTAGTAATAAAATTATGGCTTATTTCTCCATTTCCAGCTAAATTATCTCCCCCCATTCACTGCATGGTTTCGTCCCATCCTACATGGACTAGAGTCACTGAGTGAGATCAGATGGTAAAATTTACGGTGGCCGAGAGAGCTCAACGCGCTGCAACTTAAGAAAACACATGCAAATTGAAAAAACACCAGCAAATTAAGAAAACATCTTCATCAGTTTGACAACACACGCGCTGCAAATCCTCACAACACATGCAAATGAAGAAACGCTGCAAATCCTCACAACACATGCAAATGAAGAAACGCTGCAAATCCTCACAACACATGCAAATGAAGAAACACGCTGCAAATCCTCACAACACATGCAAATGAAGAAACACGCTGCAAATCCTCACAACACATGCAAATGAAGAAACACGCTGCAAATCCTCACAACACATGCAAATGAAGAAACACGCTGCAAATCCTCACAACACATGCAAATGAAGAAACACGCTGCAAATCCTCACAACACATGCAAATGAAGAAACACGCTGCAAATCCTCACAACACATGCAAATGAAGAAACGCTCTGCAAATCCTCACAACACATGCAAATGAAGAAACGCTGCAAATCCTCACAACACATGCAAATGAAGAAACACGCTGCAAATCCTCACAACACATGCAAATGAAGAAACGCTGCAAATCCTCACAACACATGCAAATGAAGAAACGCTGCAAATCCTCACAACACATGCAAATGAAGAAACGAGCTGC